TTTTTTTTTATAGAGGCATGCTTTATTTATTTGTTTGCTGGTTTCTTTGTTTGTTTTGTTTATACATGCACTGGGTACAGTCAGAGGCGCGGGAGGGCGAGAGAATTCACCAGAGCCAGAGCGGGGAGCAGAGCAGGCAGAAGGACCGAAGTACACTGCTGAGGGGAGCAGCGGGCGGCAGGAGAGGTCTGCGCGCCATGTGGGACCCTCCTCCGGTGGCCGGGGAGCAGCCGGGGATCGAACCGGCGCCGCAGAGGCCGCGCGCAGCTTCGCAACCCAGCGCTCAACCGCTGCGCCACCGGGGAGGCCCCGATAAAGCGTTTTTTAAAGACAGCATCAGAGATGCAAATATTTCATATAAGATGTTAGTTTTTAATGGCGGAAACAGCATAAAAATGCTCTGCTAGAATGGTTAAACAAATTATACCGCATCTAACCAGTGGAGTATTATGCAGCCATTAAAATTCAAGAATGTTTTAATGATGGAAAAATGCTTACATTAATGCAAAGTAAATAAATAGGATCAAAATTGTACATCAGCATTTAATTATGTTAAATTAAAAATGCATAGAAGGGCCTCCCTGATGGCGCAGCGGTTGAGCGCTGGGTTGCGAAGCTGCCCGCGACCTCTGCGACGCCGGTTCGATCCCCGGCTGCTCCCCGGCCACCGGAGGAGGGTCCCACATGGCGCGCAGACCTCTCCTGCCGCCCGCTGCTCCCCTCAGCAGTGTACTTCGGTCCTTCTGCCTGCTCTGCTCCCCGCTCTGGCTCTGGTGAATTCTCTCACCCTCCCGCGCTTCTGACTGTACCCAGTGCATGTATAAACAAAACAAACAAACAAACAAATAAATAAATAAAACATGCCTCTATTAAAAAAAAAAAATGCATAGAAAAGAAGACTGCATAAAAATACATTAAACTGTTTGTTATGTAGTAAACTATGGGTGACTTTTATTTTTGAGCTTGTGCTTTGTTTTCCTAATTCTATCATGAGTATTTTATTTTTAAATTTATTTATTTATTTATGCATATAACAATTGAGGTGTTGGCCAGAGGTGCAGGGAGGTAAGAGGGTTCACCAGAGAGAGAGTGGGGAGCAGAACAGGTGGACTGACTGATAAACACTGCTGAGGGGAGCAGTGGGCAAGACAGGAGAGGTCTACTGTGCCATGTGGATCAGCTCCCTGGCCTGGGATCTAACTCAGACTGTCGTGGAGGCCCCTAAGGTGGTAGTGCAAAGACTCAGCCCCAAGGCCACTACGGAGGCCCCTCATACATGATCGCTTTTATCCTCACTATAACCTCTGGAGCAGGTTATAGTATTCCCGTCTTAGAGTTAGACACACTGCAGGTTAGAAAAATTAAAAGAATGTCCTCAGTTGAACAGCCAGCGAGCAGCAGGCTGGGAATCAGACATTGGCCTTTCCATCTTTGAGAGTCCAATCCTTGGCCTCCAGCCTGGGCCACTCACAGTGTGTTTGTTTGCAAGGATCGAATGAAGTCATGCTGACAGTCTCAGAACCAGAGCCTGGCTCTTTGCAGAGCTGCTCCACCTAATGCCAGCTCCCTTCTCTGTGACTCCCCCACACACACCAGACATTAGCAAAACCAGTGCAACCCCTGAAAAAAGTATCTCTGCCCTAAAAGAACTATAGGACCTGGAAGGCCAGACCAGAGAGAGGGCCTGGAAGGCTGCCTCACTCAGGGAGGGAAGGAGGGCTTGGCTTGCACCCCACATATCCCAAGGCAGTTCTGTCAGTGGTTTCTTCAGGATTTCCTCAGACCCCACACCTTCATTTTCAGTTTAGAATTCAGTAGAGTCACTCTACCAGCAAGATCCTCCCCACCCTTATTTATCCCTGCCACCCTGTGTCCCTAACAAATAGGGGCAGGTCTCCCCAGTCTGGTAGATTGGTTTCACTTGCCTCATTTTCCCCTCAGGAGATTTTAGGGACTGAGTAAGACAAGGCACCACATGGAAAAGGAAGGGCTGAATATTTAGGGGTGAAAGATGCAATGCATCTGGGGCTGCCCCAGAACTCCCTTCTGGATTCTTCTTGTAAGATGCCTCTTTCCCCAGGGAATCTGCCTGAGTAGGTTCCATCCCTCTTCCCCACTTCTACTCCTCAGACTTGTACTGGAATTGCACTAACTGTGCTAGAATTGCATGTTAGTTATCTTCTCCTTTCAATAGTTAGCTCCCTGAAGGCAGGCACCACAGTGTTCACCACTGTGTGTCTAGCTCCTGGCAATGTGCCTGGAACATAGTAAGTGACCATGCAAATGTCTGATGAATGGAAAAATGGAGCGAGGATGGGAGATAAGGAGAGAGGGAGGGGGGAAGGAGAAACTCTCCACAAGTCTTGTCCCAAGAAGACCCATAACTGCCCTGTTCTACGTGGTTCCTATAAGGCTTGAAACATAAGTGTTTCCAAACCTCATGTCTGCCTTTGGAAAGACATTGCAAGGAAAATCCTGGTTTATTCCAAAACTCATGCCTTCCTCTTACCAAAGTACTCAAAATGGAGCTCCTGGGTGAGGAAGTTTCCCAAGTAATGGACTCCTGAGACAGAACTACAGGACTCAAAAAATCTGAAGTCTGGTATTCTAGTCCCAGCTCTGCCATGTCTCCTGTGTGACCTTAGTGACTCCCCCCACCCCCACCCCCCCTCGCTCAGTTCCCTTCCCTGTAGAAGGAGGAGGTGGACTGCCTTTATATGACAACAAAAGCAAGTGAGGGCATTTGACTATTTACCCTAAGTATATAATAGGATGGTGTCCTCCTTCCTAAACATTTAGGGGCAGGGCCTGAGTCAACTGAGGGGGAGCATAGGTGGCATGCACTTAGGTCTTGTCTGTAAACACCTGGGCCCAAATGCTAAGCCCTCTGATGGCTGGGGAGGGGTGGTAGGTTGAAGGGGGCCTTGCCACAATAAGGGCACACCCAAACCCATCTCTGGGTCTTTGCCTCTATCTAGGTTTGCTTAAAAGAAGACTCCGAAGTCTAGGATTTTCATGGCACTGCCAAGCATGCCCTGTCACCATTCAAAAACACTCCCCTCAGAGGGACAACCCACAGAAAAATAATTGGTGGCAGGTGGAGGATGGTGAGACCTGGTGGGCCAAGCTTGCAGTTAGGTTCCCATTTCAAGCTTCCTCACAAAGTGGGGAGCCTCCTGGTCCCCCTCCAGTGGTTTTTTTTAGGGAGGACAGTGAAAGTGAACTTAGCGGACAGGAGCATCCAATGCCCACTGGCTTCCTGGCTTCACTCCAAGTAGCTGGCAGGTCCATCCTTTCCTCCAGAGCCCCACAAACACCATTTCTGCCCCCCACCCTCTGGTGGGGCTCTTCCTGCCAGAATTTCTGTGCCCATGCCTGCTCTTCTCTGTGTAAAGCTTCTGTCTCCCTTCACAGCCCTCGTTCCACTTTCTCAGTCTCCATTTCTATCTCTTTCTCCCACCTTCTCCTCCTCCCCGGCTTCTCTCCCTTGCCATCCCCCACCAGCCCCAGAATGGGTCTCTCCCTTCCTCCCGCCCCAGCTGTACCACCCTGCTCCTTAGCTCTAACCCCAGCACCTCTTTCTTTGTGTGCCTCTCGCCCTCTACCGGCCTCGCCAGCATCTTTCCTCCCCCGCCTGGCTCCAGCCTCCCCCAGCCTCCTCCAGCCTCCCCATCTTCAGCTCAGTCTCCTCCCCCTCGCTCCTCTCCCCTCCCCTCGGCCTCACCCCATTGCCTGCCTGCAAACCAGGGTTTCTTTCCACCCTGGGGGTCCCTGTGCTTCCCGTTCCACCTGCCTTGCCCTTCACCACAGGTTTAGCAGGTACCCGGTCCTCCTCTGCCTGGCATTCCCCGCCCCCCCAGCGCTGTCCTCACCACTGTCTCTCCCCGTCTCCTCCTCTCCCCACCCTCTCCTCTGCTCTCTTCTCCCTGCCCCTTTAAATCTTCCTGGCCCAGCCTCCCCCGTGATGCTGGGATGGAGCAAACATTGATTTGTGCTGGGATGGAATCAGAATTTTGATTTTTTTTTTCCTCTCCCAACCATAAGAAGAAAAAAATAATAAAAACACCCCCTCTTGATAGCCCCCTCTCCCTTCCCATCGAGCTCCCAGCTCTTCTTCCCTAGCTCCATCCAAGGCAGCTTTTTTCCCTACACTATTCTCATCTCCCCCCCCCACCCCTGCCACTACCTCGCCCCCCCTTCCCACCTCCTGCTCTTCCAGCTGGGGAGCGAGGGGACTCTTCTGCAGCTCCCCCACCTTCTCTGTGTTGGAGCAGTCTCCCCGGAAGGGGAGGGGGCTAGGCTTGTCTGGGCGAGGTGGGAGTGGAGGTATCCAGCCATGGATGCTGTGCCTGGGAGGCAGCCCGAGCCCCAGCCCACATGGTGAGTAACCTGCCCCCTCCCTTCCGCCCGTCTGCCCATCCCCACCCTCGCCTTTCCCCTGCAGCGTCTCCCCCATACCTAACCTTTCCCCACCAAACCGTCTGCCCACCTTGGTCCGATCTCTCCCTTTCCCACCCTTTATCCCCCCACCTCCGCCCCGGGCCTGGGAAGCCAAAGAACCAGGGCAGAAGAGTCCTGACAGCAGCCGGGGAGGAGGGTGGCCTACGACTTTACCCAGCCCCCTCTCGGGACCCCCCCAAAAGTGCCGTCCACACTGGACACTTTGGTGTTCTAGGTTGGAGAAGTGGGGCTCCCGCTTGGGGTTGGGCCCCCAAGTCCTGGGAGGGGCCCTCTACAAGAAAGGGAGGGTGGGGGAGCCCCTGTGCCTCCAAAGCTTAGGAGGTGCTGGAAGACGCTGCCTAAGGGTTGGGGGTTGGGGGGCGGTGCTGATGCCCCGGAGCCACTGGGCCAGGGAGCGGCGGGCAAAGAGGAGGGGCCTCGCTCGCCACTTCCCCCCCTCTTTCTCCGCAGCCACTCAGGATGAGGGTCCGGCCCTGCCAGCCCGCGCTGGGGCCCCCCCGCCCGGCCCCGGTCTAACTGCCCCCGCCCCCAGGCCTCGCCCGGCTCCCAGGCCCCCAGCCGGCTCTCCAGCCCCAGGATGCGCTGAGCCGCCGGGGGGCTGAGGCCGCGCCAACTACATGCATGTCCCCCGGGGGCAAGTTCGACTTTGACGACGGGGGCTGCTACGTGGGGGGCTGGGAGGCGGGCGGGCACATGGCTACGGCGTGTGCACCGGGCCCGGCGCCCAGGGCGAGTACAGCGGCTGCTGGGCGCACGGCTTCGAGTCACTGGGCGTCTTCACGGGGCCCGGCGGACACAGCTACCAGGGCCACTGGCAGCAGGGCAAGCGCGAAGGGCTGGGCGTGGAGCGCAAGAGCCGCTGGACGTACCGCGGCGAGTGGCTGGGCGGGCTGAAGGGGCGCAGCGGCGTGTGGGAGAGCGTGTCCGGCCTGCGCTACGCCGGGCTCTGGAAGGACGGCTTTCAGGACGGCTACGGCACCGAGACCTACTCCGACGGAGGTGCGGGGCCCGGCCCACTACTGTCTGTCTGCCCTGCGGCCTGGCCGGTGTATGCCTTTCCCACCCATGCGCCCCCCCACCCCACCCCAAGCCCCTCTGCTTTCCTATCCGCCTTCCCCGTCGAGGAGCGCCCCTGGCGCCCATCTTTCCGCGCTCTCCACCCATCATCCTACCCGCCTTCCTCCCGTGTCGGTGCCCTGCCTGCTTCCCCTGCCCTCACCCTTTCCTGTCCGCCTGTCCCTCACACCCCCACCTACCAGACCCTCACATACCCCCGTATGCCTGTCCTTTATACCACTCCTCTCTGCCTGCCCCCCAACACCACCACCACCACTTCATCATCCCGCTGGCCATTCGTTCTGTATGTTTGTCACATGACTCTCTTGTACACCCTACCTCCGTCAGGCAGCCCGTCCCCTCACCTTCTGGATTGCTTCACACCCCCTAACCTGCCTGTCCCACCCCCACCCCCCAGCCCCCCACCCCGGCGCCTTGTCTACCTGCGCTGCCCATCTCCTGCTACTTGGGTCTTCGCTCTGCGCTGCCACACCTTCCCACCCAGCCCGACCTCCACAATCACTGTCCCCACCTCTCCCACCTGGCACTTAGGCTTCCAGTGGCGCTCGGGCCCTGGGGTGCAAGGAGCGCCGAGTCCTGACTCTCCCCCTCCCGCAGGCACCTACCAGGGCCAGTGGCAGGCCGGGAAGCGCCACGGCTACGGCGTGCGCCAGAGTGTGCCCTACCACCAGGCGGCGCTGCTGCGCTCGCCCCGCCGCACCTCCCTGGACTCCGGCCACAGCGACCCCCGACGCCACCCCCGCCCCTGCCCCTGCCGGGCGACGAGGGAGGCAGCCCCGCCTCTGGCTCTCGGGGCGGCTTCGTGCTGGCCGGGCGGGGGACGCAGACGGCGCGTCCCGCAAGCGCACGCCCGCGGCCGGCGGGTTCTTCCGCCGCTCTCTGCTGCTCAGCGGGCTCCGGGCCGGCGGGCGCCGCAGCTCCTTGGGCAGCAAGCGGGGCTCCCTGCGCAGCGAAGTGAGCAGCGAGGTGGGCAGCACAGGACCCCCAGGCTCCGAGGCCAGCGGGCCCCCGGCCCCAGCGCCGCCCGCCCTCATCGAGGGCTCGGCCACTGAAGTGTATGCCGGCGAGTGGCGCGCCGACCGGCGCAGCGGCTACGGCGTGAGCCAGCGTTCCAACGGGCTGCGCTATGAGGGCGAGTGGCTGGGCAACCGGCGGCACGGCTACGGGCGCACCACCCGCCCCGACGGCTCCCGCGAGGAGGGCAAGTACAAGCGCAACCGGCTGGTGCACGGCGGCCGCGTGCGCAGCCTCCTGCCGCTGGCGCTTCGGCGGGGCAAAGTCAAAGAGAAGGTGGACAGGGCTGTCGAGGGTGCCCGTCGAGCCGTGAGCGCAGCCCGCCAGCGCCAGGAGATCGCTGCTGCCAGGTGGGCATCCAGTACAGAGGCCAAAGCTGCACGAAGGGGAGAGGGTGCCCTGGGGACAGGGAAGGGAGGCGGTGCCTAAGGGGAGACCAAGACTCAGGTTTCAGGGCCTGTTGGGAAAGTGCAGGCCAAGGGCCGGCAGTTGTAGCCCTGGGATTTGGGGGTGTTTATATCTGAGGCTACAGGTGGAGGTGGGTGGCTGAGTGAGAGGAGGCGTGTAAGACTGTGTCTCCGTGTCTTTTGTGGGAGTATGTTATTGTTGTGTGTGGGAGTAGCGATGAGTGCTGCCTTGTGCAGGCCCAGAAACCTCTGGGAGCTCAGACATGTGCCTGGCTGTCCTCTTCTTGCAGCCAGTCCTGCCTCCCGGCCTGAGATGGGAAGCAGCAGCCCTGGACAGACAGGGAGTGTCCATTTCTAACCACATCCCAGCCTGCCCACCATCTGATAAAATTTTACCTTTGGGCCCTGGGGAGGTCTAATTTGTACAGCTGACCTATCCACCTCTCAGCCTTGCCTCCTTTGACTCCCCTTATCCGGCTGATGAAAGCTGGAGAGGAGGAAGCTTGCCTGTAAATGAAATTTTCTTTCTATAAATCAGATTACATTTCCATGCACAGGAACCTTGCTAGCTAAAGCAGTGCTGTCCAGTAGGAACATAATGTAAGCCAAATACATAAATTCAAATCTATTTGCCATATGAAAAAAAATAAAAACAGGTGAAATGAATTTTAACTATATATTTTTATTTAAACCAATAGATCCAAAATATTATCATTTCAGCCTATGATCAACATAAAATTTAATGTGCTGTTTTACATTCCTTTTTTCTTCTAAGTCTTTAAAATCTAATACGTATCTGACACCGCATACCACTTCAGTTCAGGCTGGCCACATTTCTATATGTTTAGTAAGGCCATATGCTGAATAGCTACATGTGACTTGTGACTATAAGATAGCACTGATATAAAGAAAGCCAAAGATTGTGTGTGTAATGAGATGTACAGGCCTCTGATTTATACAACTCACACATCGTTTCTATACTTCAAGGGGAAAAGGGGCACAGCTGAAGGACTTTATTTAAATATTTAAAGGATCAGAGATTAAGATATGTCCAAATATGCTTGAGCGAGTTTGTATAATGGGTGACAGGGCATGTGTGTGTGTTTCCATGTGCATGAGCATGTCATATCCAGAGTAGATGTATCTGTAGATACATCTGAGTGCCTGGGTGGTTAGAGTCCAGGGTCTTAAGCCAGGAAAGGGAAGGGCGCCAGGGACAACTTAGGCTAGGTAGGGAGCCGGCATGTGCAGGAAAAACTGATCTCAGTATCTAACTGATAAGCCAGTGGGAGGAGGCTGGTTGGTCTCCCCAGCAACAGGCCTGGCAATCCTGATTGGCTGCCAGCTGCCATGGAAACAACAGAGCCTCAGCAGCAGGTGCCTCTGCCAGGTAGCCTGAGCTTGGCCTGATGCCTCAACACAGACTGGGTCTACTCCCTAGGACTTGATCATTCATACCCTCCATACTCAGAAACAGGTCCTTGTTAGGATTCCAGTTTCTTGGCTGCCAGAACTCAGCACAACCCAATACTGAGATCCCCTGAGCCCCAGGATAGGGCTCATCACATAAGTCTGAAAATCCTAAGACAGAAGAGCAGGGTTATCAGATCCCACTCCCTACCCCCCACCCCCCCATCACGCCTACTCAAATAGGATCTAAAGGTCTTTGACCTTTAGGTTTGAGGGAAGGAGGCTGATCCTATCTCCCAGTACATAAGCTAGAGATGGACCTAAGGCTGCAATGGATACCACCACTTTTCTCCCCCACCCTATACTCAGGCTGCCTTCGTAGGTCAAATAAAACAGACCTGTGGCCAGAGGGTGTCCTGGGTCTTGATCCATTCAAGCCTGTGGCAAGTATATCTCTGCCCCTTTGTGCCCCACATTCAGTGAGGATTACAGATTACAGAACTGATTTAATGACAACAGGAAACCTATTAACAGCGGAGGATAAGAAAGAAGGGAAAATAGAAGAAGGCTCTGCTATCAGAGGGAGAACTGGGAAACGACAGTGAGGGAAAGATTGATATTGCCTCTAGTTTTCTGGACCTAAGGAGCAGGGCAGAATGGGAGGGGGATTGTAGAGGGAAAACAATGTGGTGACAGAAGAGGCTGAAGAAAAGCAAGATAAAAGAAATTATCAGGACTTGAAATCTGCAGTGGAAGAGGCAGGAGTAAATAAGGGCCAGCGGGGGTTAGGGGAAGAAGGGGGTTAGGGGAAGAAGGCGAAGGTTCCTAACAAGGGGAGGAGGGTGGCCCCGCAAGGGCAGGGTGGGTGAAACTGATAGGATGGAGGTACAGGAAAATGCCTGGGACCCACGGAGAGCTGAGTGCCCCCAGGGGCCATGACCAGAGTTCTTGACTGGAGGCACCAACAGCAAAGAGGGCAGGCGAGCTGGTTAGCCCCAGCAGGTGTGACTGCAGAGGGAAGTGCTAAGAGAGTGCAGCCTCATTTGTCACTGGGAGGGAGCAGGATAGGAATGAGAGTTGAGGGCCTGGGCCCTGCAGCTGGAAGAAGGGAAGTGTTACTACAGGACGTAACAGTGGAAGGGCGTGAGAGGAGCAGGAGGGTGTGATGAAGCAGGCATAGCCCAGGTCTAAGAGAGGAAACCAAAGGCGAGCTACCCTGCTGGGCTGGGCATGGCTGTCCCTGCCAGAGAAAGGGCAGCAACTGGCATTGTGAGCAAGGGTGAGGACTCCAGAGCTGAGCTCAGATCGGGAGCATGGGGTGTGATGAGACATGGGGCCTCGACCATCTGAATGGGAGGCTGGTCTGCTAAGTCCCTGTCCCTGGAACCCGACAGGGCAGCAGATGCCCTTCTCAAGGCTGTGGCGGCCAGCAGCGTCGCGGAGAAGGCTGTGGAGGCAGCACGGATGGCCAAACTGATAGCCCAGGACCTGCAACCCATGTTGGAGGCCCCAGGTGAGAGGAGGTGGCGACTAGGGTGGGAGGGGACTGTAGGGCTCGGGAGTGGGGAATCCCTGCGGGGGACTGGGGAATCTGAAAAGCCAAGGTACCAGGATTCAAGGAGATGGAGGGTGGGTGCCAGGCCTTGTTGTAGGGTATGTATGAAGTAGGGTCGTAAGGACTTAGGGGTAGGGGCTTTTCAATAAGAGTCTACAAGCCTGGGGAGACCAAAGTCATAGGAGGTGCCAGATGGGGATAAAGCTGTGGCTTTGGCAGCCCAAGAAAGTTGGGTCCCTCTAATCCTTGGTTATCCCTGCCCCAGGCCGCAGACCCAGGCAGGACTCAGAAGGTTCTGACACAGAGCCCTTGGATGAGGACAGCCCTGGGGTGTACGAGAATGGACTGACCCCCTCAGAGGGCTCCCCTGAACTGCCCAGCAGTCCTGCCTCCTCCCGCCAACCCTGGCGACCTCCTGCGTGCCGGAACCCACTGCCTCCTGGAGGGGACCGGGGTCCCTTCTCCAGCCCCAAATCTTGGCCTGAGGAGTGGGGGGGGCCAGGTGAGCAGGCAGAAGAACTAGCTGGCTATGAGGCCGAGGATGAGGCCGGGATGCAGGGGCCAGGGGCCAGAGATGGTTCCCCACTCCTTGGAGGCTGCAGTGACAGTTCTGGAAGTCTTCGAGAGGAGGAGGGGGAAGATGAAGAGCCTCTGCCCCCACTGAGGGGCCTAGGAGGCTCAGAGTCTGAGCCCCTGGCCACGCCAGTCCTGCGGGGCCTGTCCTCCAGGGGTCCTGAAGCCAGGTGTCTGACGGAAGAGCTTGAGGAGCCCGCTGCAACCGAGAGGCCTGCCCAGCCGGTGAGACACCCTCCATCCCTGCTTTGTGCGTCTGAGGCTCAGCTCCTTTCTGGCCCCTCTCCTCAAAGCCTAGCCTCTCATCCTTTCCAGACCTCTGATCCCCTGAGGGACTTTGATTTACACTCAGCTTCCTCTCTGCCTCCCCAGTTCTTGGACCAAATCCCACTTCAAAAAACGAGAACTTGGAGCTAGAAGAAACCTTAGAGACCTTGATGTCCAGCTCCCTCATCTGACAGATGGGGGAACTGAGGCCCAGAGCTTTAAGTAATTTGCCCGAGGTTATAAACCAATAATTAACAGTAGTGCCAGAACATCTTTCCCTGTTCTTCCATATCATTTCCAGCTCCCAGTTTCCTACTCCACCCCCACCCCCACCCCCACACTTTCTCTCTTCAGTGCCCAGAAATAAAAAAGGAAAAGCTTGTTCCCTCCCTACCCCGACTCTCCCTCCCTCTCCTGGGAAGAAGGGAAGTAGGAAAGACGGCAGAAAACCAAGAGGGGTGGAGTCTCCCTAGAACCCCCTGCTCTGATTGGACTCCTGGCTTTCTCCGGTCTCCTAGCAACCTCATCCTCACCCCTTCATCCCTCTCCGCTTTACTGCAGTACCGACTGCTGCTGCCAACGTCTGCTACTAAGGCCAGGCACCTTCTGCCGGGGCCACGTGACATGCTGGTGGGAGGGAGGGAGGTGAAGGGAGGAAGGCGGAAGGGCTGTCCCTGACTTGCTGGAGCCAGAGGGAAGGTGGGGCCCTGCTGGGAGAGGAGAGGCGTTTTGTAATCCAAAACTGGTTGGCAGTCCCCCATGCCCGGGCCTCTGAGAGAGGTACCTGGGACTCCATTAGCTTTGCCACTTAAGCCAGCACAGGACGTAGGAGGATGTAGGAGCTGTTGCTCGGGGCTGAGCCTTCATTTCCCCCTCTCTCTAGGGAGCTGCCAACCCCCTGGTGGTGGGAGCCGTGGCCCTCCTGGACCTCAGCCTGGCGTTCCTGTTCTCCCAGCTCCTCACCTGAGGCTCCTTCTTGGCCTAGTTCTGGCTTTGGTTGCTGCCTCTTGGCTCCTTTGGCCTGCCTTTTTCCTCTTCCTCCTCCTGGTCGTTTTTCCTCCTTTCTTTCTCTTTTTCCTTGCCTTTTTTTGTCCCCTTTGTTTTGTCTCTTGCTTTTTCTTTACCCTCTCAGATTCTCTCATTTATTCTAGACCTGTCTCTGTCTTCCTCACTCCCTCCTCGACCCCTCCCTTCTCTCTCTCTAGATTGTTTACATATGAAGGGCTTTTCTTGCTCAGAGTTGCTCTCTTCTCTGAGACATACAAATCTAAGTCAGACCATTGCCCCTCTGCCCTCCCGCCTTTTCTTTAGACCTGAACTTTGACGAGGGTGGGGGTTTGGTGTCCTGAGGAGTCTCCTGGAAGCGGAATGGAAAGGAGGAAGAAAATGGAGAAGGGGTGACAGAATACTGGGCAAGGCACGGGCCAAGCTGCTGTGGCTTCTTGTCCCAGGGGGCCTAGTGTCCCTCGGAGGCCTAGTGGAAAACTGGAGGAGCTAGAGCCCCCTTCTCTGACCCTGGTGGACCCTGTGTCACTCCGAGCACTGAGCTAGACTCATGTCTAACTAGGCCCTTCCTGAAGGGGATAGGGGAAAGGGAAAAAACGACTCCCTACCATCTCTTTCTTTCCTCAACAGCCAATCCCTCATCCAACCCACCGGGTGGCATGCCATGACAAGACAATGTATAAAGGAAAGAAAAGTCCAGTGCAGCCAAATCCACCCACTGATCTCTCCCACCCTTCTCTCTCCCCTAAAGTTTATTTGGTTGGTCTGGACTCACTTGTGGCCTTTGATTAAATTTCTAAGGGGCCTGAAGAAGACATTTCTACTGCAGAGGGATAGAGGCACTTAGCAAGGACGCCACTCCCCAGCTCCGGCAGTTGTGGCCAAGGGGAGGCAGTTCTGGGGAGTGGAACTAGACACGAAAACAGGAACTCACAGGGCAGCAGGAGCTGGCGAGTTTAGCAATCTCAAAGTGGGTTCTATCCCTTCCCCCATCGCATCAGAACCTTGTGAGATGGGAAAACCACAGAAGGAGGGGATCAAAAGAATCCAGGTGCTCACCCGCTTTCCAGGCAGGCCAGAGGTGAGAGCCCGACCCGGGTGGGTGAGAGGCGGGTGGTGAGCCCTGTTTGAGGTGTGGCTGATCCCTGGTACTAGGAAGCCCTAGGAAGAGGGGACCATAAGGTCCCTGGGGGATCTTTCCTCCCTCCCCTGCATGAGGCAGAGGCAAACTGCCTGCCAACCCCCTCCCTCAAGGAATGGCCTTGCCTGGGAATGCCCACCACACACACCCTCTTCTTTTTTTCTAGTCAAACTCTGTTTACTCCTTGGCCTGCCTTCCTCCTTCCTCCCCTCTCAACCTTTACTTCTGATTTCTATTTCATGGAATTTGGGATTGAAGTTCAATTACAACAGTGCCGACAACACCAAGTCTTGCAGGAAAAAAAAATATAAAGAAATTTAACAAAAAAAAATATATTAATAAAAAAGTTCAAAAAAGGGGGGGGACTGTCATCTCCTTTGGGATGCGATGGCTTCAAACCCCAGCTGCGGCTCTCCGGGCGACGAGAAGGACGAGGACCCTTCTTGGGCACCCCCAAGCCTGTTCCACAGTCTCTCCCGCCGGCCCTTCGCGGAGAAAAGCTCCTTCCCCAAAACGCCAAAGCCCGAGGTCAGAGGTCGGAGGAACCGAGCGCTCAGCCCGGCGCCCGGGCGGGGCGGGGTCCCGGGATGGGGGCGGGGAGAGGGAAGGCCGAGCCCGAGCGCCAGCCCCGCGCGGCCCTGCACCAGGAAGCGCTGGGGGGAGAGGAGCGGCGCGAGAAGCAGGTGAGGCTGGCGCTGGGGCCGGCGTCCAGGTATGGGGAGCCGAGGCCGCCTGAGACCCGAACGGGGGAAGGAGCTTCGCGGAGGCGCTAGCTCGGGCCGGGGAAGGAAAGCACTGGCAGGGCCAGGGATGGGACATCAGGTGGGGCGCGGGGGTGAGGGGAGGGCAATGGGCGGGGTTCTGGCGCATGCTCCGTAGGGGCGGGCGCGGCGCGGGGCCGGGGCGCATGCGTAGTGGGTAATCTGCTCGAGCGCGGAGCGGGGCGGCCTTGGTAGGCCCACGTGGGGAAAGGTCAAAATGGGCTCAATTTCAGAATAGCTGTGGGACCTGCACTCTCGAGATCTTGGCACACAGCAAGTCTGGGAAGAAAGGCCAGGTGCTCAAGGTCAGAGGTCTAAAGTCCTCTGCCCTCCAGGATGGTGCTGCTTTCTCTGAAGCTTCAAGATCTAATTGAGGAGATTCGTGGGGCCAAGACCCAGGCCCAGGAGCGGGAGGTGATCCAAAAGGAGTGCGCCCATATTCGGGCCTCCTTCCGTGATGGGGACCCTCTGCACAGGCACCGCCAGCTAGCCAAGCTGCTCTACGTCCACATGTTGGGCTACCCCGCCCACTTTGGACAGGTACTGGGCTGGGGCGCCTCCCTTCTGAGTTTGATGAGGGTAGTTAGTGGGGACTGGGGCTTGGAAGCAATCACCTGTTTGTGCCGGATGTTTTCATTCTACGATGTTTCTAAGCCTTCACAGCATGCACCACAGACCTCCAATACAATACCCATTGGTCATCAGCTGGACTGAACCCTTCATTCTCTGGCCAGGCTCCTCAGGACACCTCTCATCTCCCATCCCTCTCAACTCCTAGTTCCTTGAAGCTACCCAGAGCTCTCTCTTAGCTCTTATTGGAGAGGGTGATGGGCTGTGGCACCAAACAGGTTAACCTAGTGTTAAGCAAGACGAGAGAAAATGGGTTGTTAGTGCCTCCAGTTTCATCCCTGCCCCTTCCTGGTCTGCCCCCTTCCCTATAGATGGAGTGCCTGAAACTGATCGCCTCCCCCAGATTCACAGACAAGCGGGTGGGCTACCTGGGGGCCATGCTTCTACTGGATGAGAGGCAGGATGCCCACCTGCTCATTACCAACAGCATCAAGAAGTGAGAGGGCTCTGGGAAGCACTCAAATCAGGGAGATGGGAGAGTGGGGAACTGGGAAATCCTAGGGGGCTGCCTGCCGGAGGTAGTGGGAAGGACTGGATTGCTCAGTCTTCATTAACCATCCTCCCAACTCTGCAGTGACCTGAGCCAGGGGATTCCTGCAGTCCAAGGCCTGGCCCTATGCACTCTGAGCTCCATGGGCTCTGCCGACATGTGCCGAGACCTGGCCACCGAGGTAGAGAAACTGCTCCTACAGCCCAGCCCCTATGTGCGCAAAAAGGTGAGCTATCAGGGCTCTAGGTTCTTCCCTCCAGAAGCTCCCATTTGCCAGTGGTAGTGCTCAGGGAGGGGGAATCATCCTGCAGACCATGCTCTCTCTGAGCCCCCGACCTCTGCAGGCTGTCCTGACTGCAGTGCATATGATCCGGAAGGTCCCTGAGCTCTCCAACATCTTCCTCCCACCTTGTGCCCAACTGCTTCATGAACGCCACCACGGTAAGGCCACAGTCCTCAGCTCTGTGGACAGAAGTTTAAAAAAACAAAAATGGGACTATAGTGAACGCCAGCTCATAGGAGAAGGGCAGTGAGTGCACACAAACACATACACGCAGTCGACTCTCCTGTGCCCCTGCTGCCATTCACTTCCCCCACCCTGACCCCAGGCATCCTGCTGGGCACCATCACGCTGATCACCGAACTCTGCGAACGAAGCCCTGCAGCCCTCAAGCACTTTCGAAAGGTGGGCTGGTGCAGGGGCAGGCCCTCGGCCAGGAAAAGCGGGGCAGGGGATTGGAACAGGGCCGAAGGTTGTGAAGTTAGGAAGAATGCCCCAGATAAGGCTGTGCCCTCCCTCCAGGTGGTACCCAAGCTGGTGCTGATCCTCCGGACTCTGGTGACAACAGGATATTCTGCAGAACACAGCATATCTGGAATCAGCGACCCCTTCCTGCAGGTGGGCGGCCAGTTCCCTGCTATATCCTCGGAACAAAGAGCTTAGCAATAAGCCTGTGGCCAGTGGTCATCTCTCCCACACACTGGCTCAGTGTCTTGAGCAGGAGAGTGGCAGACACAGGATTGCCCAGGTGACCTCAAGGCAGTGCAGGGAGGGGGATACCTGAAGATCAGGAAATCCAGTTTGGTAACAAAATCCTGTCCCCCAAATCCCACTTTCACATACCTCCCAGGACCCAAGGGACCAGGGGACAGGAAAGTTCTCTGGAACCAGTCAGACCCCTCACAGTGCTCTCATGAGGGATTTTTCTCAGCCCGTGACTCCATACCCTCTGAACCCCTCCCTTCAACTTTTAACCCATCCTCAGGTCCAGATACTTCGTCTGCTTCGGATTCTGGGCCGGAACCACGAGGAGAACAGTGAGACCATGAATGACTTGCTGGCCCAGGTGGGGGCTGGGAGGGGGCAGTGCTTAGGTGTGTTACTCTGTGATCCCACCAGCCCTGAGCATCCCTCACAGGACCATTCATCATATAATTGTGCATAATCCACAGTCACATCCACATTCCCCTCTAGACTGATCTCCACAACGACAGCGTCCCTCAGGGCACATAGCAGGGTGGGGGCTCAGAGAGCTTTGTTTGATGGTTGAGAGATGGCAAGGTGGGAGACCTTCCAGAGACCTGAGGAGCAGACAGAGCCCCATATATATATACACCTTTTCTCCATCCACTCAGGTAGCCACCAACACAGACACCAGCCGAAATGCAGGTAACGCGGTCTTGCTTGAGACGGTGCTGACCATCATGGACATCCACTCTGCCGCTGGCCTTCGGGTATCACCCAATATGCCTCTCCTATTGTCCCCCCCACGAACTCTGACCAGAGTGGTCCTGTGCCCTGGTCTCTCACCCTGTGCTGTGCTGTATACTGCCCATGGCTGCATGAGCAGGTAACTCCTGCCCTGACTCCCCAACCTCTGCTTCCCACAGGTTTTAGCTGTCAACATTCTTGGCCGTTTCCTGCTCAACAATGACAAGAACATTAGGTAATAGTCCCAGGTGTTTGACTGGGCTGTGCCACTGAGCCCAGGCCCTCTGCCTTCCTTCCAGAGTCTCCTGATCCACCTGCCTCTTATCCTAACACCCAGGGAAGGGCAAGGCAGGGAGGGGCTGATGGCTAAGGCATGATAGCGCCTCTCCACTCTGCCAGGTATGTGGCACTGACATCGTTGCTGCGACTGGTGCAGTCTGATCACAGTGCTGTGCAGCGGCACCGGTCCACTGTGGTAGAATGTCTGCAGGAATCTGACGCATCCCTCAGCCGGTGAGTGAGACAGAGGAACACAAGGGCAGGGCAGAGCACCCAGCACTGGTGGCCAAGACCCAGACCAGCTCAGGGCATCCGGAATGCAGAGACTTAGGAGACAGGTGTCTGGGAAAGGGAAGGGTCTGAGGCAGTCTCAGGGTGAACTGGGCTACCTGGTACAAAAACATTTCTCCTGCCAGGCGGGCCCTGGAACTGAGCCTGGCTCTGGTGAACAGCTCCAACGTGCGGGCCATGATGAAAGAGCTACAGTGCTTTCTGGAGACCTGTCCCCCTGATCTTCGGGCAGACTGTGCCTCAGGCATCCTGCTGGCTGCGGAGAGGTGAGGTGACAGGTGCCTAGGAGACACAGAGGATGGACTCTGGGGAGGCTCTGCACCAAGACTGATGAGCCAAATGTCTCTTAGGTTTGCCCCAACCAAGCGCTGGCACATAGATACCATCTTGCACGTGCTGACGATGGTGAGGCTGGGGCTGGTCTGAGCTGGGTGGCAGAGGGTTGGGTTCATCCACGGACTCGCCACATTCACCCCTTCCAGGCAGGCACCCATGTACGGGATGATGCCGTGGCCAATCTGACACAGCTGATCGGGGGTGCCCACGAGCTACATGCCTACTCCGTGCGCCGCCTCTACAGTGCCCTGGCAGAGGACATCTCCCAAGTACTGTTCCCATCACCTTCCCAACCCTCCCTCCCAGACCATTACTCCCTATACCTGATTCCCAACTCCCTTGAAGTCAGTTATTTGTGTGAAGAGACACTTCACACAACAGACACTCAAGGACAGAGCCCTGCTTTTAAGTTAGAACACCTGGACTTCTGTCCTGCCTCTGGCACCTACTGGCTATGTGACCACAGATGACTGACTTTGTTTGGTGTACTCAGCTTTCTACCCTGTCCACCTCCCAAGCTCTTAGTATCAAATGAGATAGATAAAAAAGCTCTGCCTGCTAAGTTGGGTTTTATTATTGCCTCAAATGCTGAGCAAATTAGTAGGTGCCGGCCAGCATCTATAGCCCCGTTTTCATATTAGTGAACTGTGGTGGCTAGAAACCATCCACGGGGACCTCAAGGGAAGGGCTCCCTTTTCCTTCATGCAGTTCTGGTGGTTGGCCACCAGAGGGCAGAAGCAGCCCAGGAGACAGGTCTGAGGCTGGTAACAACTAACTTAACTGCTCCCCAGTCCTGGCCCTCCTCTTTCCCTACCCTTCTAAGCCCCGCTGTCTCTCCACAGCCTGAAGGCACGTTGCTAGGGGCCTGGGTGTGAAGAGAGGACCCAGACTCTAGCCCAGCCTCTCAGATGAGTTTCTTATTCCATTACAGCAACCGCTGGTCCAAGTGGCAGCCTGGTGCATCGGAGAATACGGGGACCTCCTGCTGGAGGGGAGCTGTGAAGAAACTGAACCCCTTCAGGTGAGACCTACATTGGGGGTACTCTAAGGAGAGACTTGTCAGGGGAGGTCGGGCTGGCTCCAGAGTCACTACTGTGTTTGCCCTGCAGGTGGAAGAGGAGGAGGTGTTGGCACTGCTGGAGAAGGTGCTCCAGTCCCATATGTCCCTGCCAGCCACCCGAGCGTACGCCCTCACAGCCCTCATGAAGCTCAGCACCCGGTTTCGTGGGGACAACAAGTAAGAAAGGTTCCCAGCCTCCCCAAGGCCCATTTTTTGGTGCCTTCGGTAAGAGATTATCCCTTCACTGTGCCCATCAGTCTGACTTTCTCTCCATGCCTGGAGGCCCCCAATCCTTAGGGTCTTCCTGTCAACCAAGTATCATGGGTCTCTCTCTGTTCTGGGGGCCTCCCCCTTCCCTACCATGTCCTGGAGCTAAAGGGCAAGGCAAGCTGCCATTCCAACTCACATAGCACCCTGTGGCCCAGCCGCATCCGCCAGGTGGTGTCCATCTACGGGAGCTGCCTGGACGTGGAGCTGCAGCAGCGGGCCGTGGAGTATAACATGCTCTTCCGGAAGTATGACCACATGAGGTATGATCTGCACAGCGAGCATCACAAACCCCTGCCCTCTCCCCAGAGTCCTCTCTATAATGACCCTCTCTGGATACAAGGGTCTCATTCTCATCCACAGAACCTCCCACCCACAGTTCATTGAAACTAAGCTGGCTTCCATGCTGCTTTGCTCCTCAACAGCACGCCATCTCAGGAAATCAGAGAGTGCTGTGACCTACCGTGTGCCCAGAACCCTCGGCTTACTCTGCCACACATACATGACTCTGTTGAAAAGCCCAGGGTCCCCTCAGAGGCACATACACATTCCTTTCTCTCAGGGATGCTATTCTAGAAAAGATGCCTCTTCTGGAGCGAGGTGGCCCTCAGGTTGATGAGGAAACAAAGGAAAGCAAAGAAGAAGCCCCACTTTCCGAAGTAACCCCTCCCCCCGCGGAGCCCCAGGTGAGGCGGCTGGATCCCCAAGGGTGCAGAGCACTTGGTCAGACTTTCACTCCCAGCCCTGACACTCCCAGCCCTTTCCCCCAGGCCTCAAATCTCTTGGACCTGTTAGATCTCCTGGATGGCACTTCTGGGGAGACCCAGCATCTTCCACCTCTGGCTCCCTCCCCAGGAGATGCCTTGGTACATCTCCTTGATCTTCCCTGTGCGCCTCCACCCCCAGGTAGGCCTCAGCAAAGGGCAGGGGGCATGTCATGGGTGGATGAGCTATCTATAAGTCAAAGACTAAGGTTTCAGGTGCACTTTAACTTGCTTCGTGCCCCATCAGTTCCCATCATGGCAGGTTCAGTAGATCTTCCAGTCCCCTCCTGAACACGCTTGAGTGTCTTCCTCTGGTTCAGATGTCTTAATCTGGGCTTGCGGAGCCCTATCTCCTCCCAGTCTCCCACACTTGCCCACTAGGCCTTCCATTGGCCCCTTCTAGCTCCTCAGACCTCTATCTCAAGTCCTAGGCAATTCATGTTCTTATTACATGGAATGTTCTTTCCCCAGTACATCAGATAACCAGTTTATTCTTACTCCTCAGCTAAAATGTCAGATACCTTTCCCTACCATTCCTATTTCAGTTAGTTCCTCCAATTACTCTGGCATAGTTTATTTCGTTCATAGCGCCAACTAGTCTGTGAGAATGATGCTTGTTTTTTTCTCTCTTATTGTCTCTTCCCCTATGAGACTTATGCTTCAATGCGGGCTTCATCTTGTTCATTTTGTCACTACCATTTCAAGCAGTGCCCTATACCCAGTGGGTGCTCACTTCATTTTTATTCCATGAATAAATGAATGAATTCATCTTCAGCCCATATACTGAGCTACTTCTCTCTTCTTACTCTAGCTCCCATCCCAAATCTCAAAGTATTTGAGCGCGAAGGACTACAGCTGAATCTGTCTTTTGTGCGACCCCCTGAAACCCCTAATTTGCTCTTAATAACAATCACCGCTACCAATGCCTCAGGGGATGACATCACCCAGTTCATCTGCCAGGCCGCTGTGCCCAAGGTTTGTATAAGACCAGGATTCAGATATGGCCTGGTACTTCCAGGAGAAAAAGCCACTAAGTAGAGGATATGGGTGGAAATGAGACGAGGGCAGAGAAGCATTCAGGGAGTTATAGGAGGAGGCATGGAAGGGTTGTTTGAGCCCAGCTAGCTGCCTTACTGTGCTCTGACCAACCTCCTGTGTTCAGAGTTTACAGCTACAGCTACAGGCCCCCAGTGGGGACACAATTCCAGCTCAGAGTGGACTTCCAATAACCCAGCTTCTCAGAATCCTCAATCCTAACAAGGTGAGCTCTAGGAGCCCCCCCTATGAATAAAGACCCAGGACAGGTGAAGTCAGGGGTGCTAACTCTGGTCTATGCTCTTCTATTCCTAGGTCCCCTTGCGGCTCAAGCTGCGCCTCACTTACAACCACTTTGGCCAGTCCGTGCAGGAGATCTTTGAGGTGAACAATTTGCCCATGGAGACCTGGCAGTAACTCAGCCTGCACACTTGGAGCCTACACGTCAGGGCTACCAGCAGGTGGCGCTCTGGTACCATGCATGCCACTGTAGAAACTGAGGGCCTGCCCCCAACCCCCAAATAATGAAAACCCAATAAACCGGAAGGGGAAAGGCCAAATCTGAATGTATTTGAGGTAGAGAAGTCTGAATAACAGCAAAGGGGAAAGCCTTCTTACAGAGGAAGTGCATATCCTCAGCAGTAGGAGCCTATTTCAACAAAGGAGGGTTTTCTTTTTACCCGTCACCAAGGTAGGGAGCACATTTGCCCCTAAACTTTCACAAGAGGCACTCCCATGTCTGGGATAAAGCAGGGCGCATTGGCAAAATCAAACTAGAATTTCTAGGTCTCTAACAGGGATTTCCACCTATTTCCCCAACCTGCTGCTATTCCCTACATCCCAAGGCAGGGAAATCCCTGCTGCCTCCCCTCATCTCTAACTCAGCTGTAAGGCGGTTTAGGAGCCGCTGGCAGAATCAATGGCATCGACCAAGGGAGGGGGGGGGTGGCAAGGGATTTTCCTGTGCTTAACTACTGATCACGGCTAAGTGGAAATCCTATAAACACGAGCGGAAATCAATGGAGGCTGCTTAGCGGCCAGGGGAGAGGGGCGGCCCACAGATTGCATCTGACGGATGAGGGAGAGGAGGCAGCCAGGGAGGGCTCAAGGAAGGATAGCTGAGGGTAGGGTGAAGGAACAGGCAGAGCTGGAGAGAGGAGTTACTGTGGGAAGGGAGCCTGGGGAAGAGACCCAGCCCCAGGAATGAACCCCATTGGACCCAGAGGCTCTCTTTGCCTTCAAGGAAGTGACACCCTAGCCCAGGCTACTGTCAGGATGCTTGTTTGGTGCCCTATGGCAGCTTCGCTCCGGAACTCTTCACTTCTAGCAGACGCTGATAGTCCTGTGGCCGGAAGCGCTGGAGATACACAATCAGCTTGGCAGGTGCCTTCTCCTGCGCTGGCACACCTACAGGCAAAAGGAGAATCAGAGAACAAGGCAGAGCTCCAAATGCTTTGACTCTGCTCCCTGCCCACCCGGCCAGGACCCCAAAGTTGTTTCTGCCGCAGTACTGGGTTCTGAATGCCTTCCAACCAGCGTCCATGTCCCACCAGCCCACTTCCCTACTGGCCTTGGAAGTGGGCCTGAAAAGGCCCTTCAGGCAGGAGTGGAGCTGGGAAGCCAGGCATGAGCCTCTCCTCCAGCAAAAGAAATGGTGATGAGGCACTGGGGCTCCATGAAGATAGAGGGTGCTTCAGTAGTGATTTATTTCAGTTATTGCTTCTGTTCCCCAATCAAGATTAAAGCCCAAAGCTTAGGCAGGCCAAAGCTCATTAGCTCGGTAATAAAGCACATGCAGAGATGCACACACAGAGAAACCAGAGGATGCACAAAGAAGAGGAGCAGCTAATACCATGGGCTGGAACTCACACAGAATTCTAGCCTCTTTGGTGAGGCACTATGTGGTGTCTTACCGTTAGGGCCTGGCAGCATGGGGGGCATATAGCAGGGCACTGGGCATATGTATGCTGAGGAGAAGAGAGCAGCATTCCAGGGCTGTAAGACCCCATGGGATGCCCAGCCCCATTCTTATGTGCATGAACTGTCTGCAAGGAAGCTAAGCCTAGGAATAGAAAAACCTGCCAGTGCTTGCCCCACTGTCACATAAACACCACGTTCCTGCCTCCACTGAAAGCTAAAAGAATAAATGTGGATCTAAGTGGCTGTAAAAACAAGGCTAAGAGTGGGAGAAAGGAAGCACTGACGCAAAGAACTGACAAACGGAACTGAGGGCGACTTGGAGTGGCTGTAGGTATAAAAACTAAAAAAATGACTTGTCTAGACTAGAGACACATGGAAGGATTAAATCCAGGTTAAATGGGAAGTATAAGGGAGGAAACCAAGTTTGACACAACTGTAAGTAAACCGGGTCATCTAGAAAATTGCTCAAAGCTTGGCCAAGACCCTCCCCCACTAACGAGGTCCAGTGGGGACATCCAGAGGAGGAAAGCACAGAAGGGCCTGTCCTTCCTCACCAAGCATGTGGCTGAGTCTGTGGATCTTCTCTAAGGCAGCTGGGACCTCAGCCTCCCTGTGCACAAGGGCCTCGACCTCACCCACAGCGTAGCCAAAGTCAGCTGTATCCAGGTCCACCTTGAGCGCTGGCTCCTCTTCATCAGCTCCAGGCAGCACCAGCTTCCAGGCACTGCGCTTGGTCACAAAACTAGCTACTTCCTGCAGCCCCAGTGGACCCAGCACAGCAGCCACACCTCCAGCTCCCAGGACCTCAGCCCCCAGCACCTCACAGAGCTGGGCCACAATTGCAGGTTCATCTGTGACTTCCACATACTCAGTGTGGGGTCCCGAGACACCGCCAGATCCAGGACATTTGAACTCCCATCCACTGCCCTCTCGCTGTCGCAGCCAGTGGTCAGCCCGCATGAGGCTCAGTCCTGGGGTGTCATAGTAGCTGTCTCGGAACATGAGCCGGTGCTCCAAGACGCCTCCCAATTCCTGCAGCCGTTCCTCTGTGTTAGGCCCCGGAACGAACTTTCGCTCCACCTCAATCGTGCCCTGGGCCATGCTACCTGCACTCGATCAAGAAACCTTTGCTGAGCTCCCACGGTTGTCAGCCTCGCAGGGCAGCTTAGCACAGACAGACCCCTGGAGGAACTCAGGAGTCACACACAGTGTCGCTGACTTCTCTGGGCGCGGTTCCAAGGCTCGCTCTGCCTCAGCCCTCGCTCTCTGATGTATCACGGCTCCGAGGCAGTGACAGGACTCCAGTTCAACGCCTACCACTGATCTCTCGATCCAAGGGCTTCCTAGAAAGACGGCCGTGAAGAGGGTGTTTCCACACCACCCCCTCTACAGCTGGCTGCCCGGGCGCACCGCCTGGGCTCACCCCGCCCGCCCGGCCGCGCACCGGCCAGCGGGGCCGCGGGTCTCACCTCCACGCCCGAGGCGCGCTCTCGCGGGACCTGGCGCCGCGGGTCGGGAGCCCGCGCCACGCCCGCGAGGAATGCCGGGAGCAGGTCTCGGCCCCCGGCTTGGACCCGGCTCGGCGTAGCCAGCCAGTCCCAACACCAGCGGCCATGTTAGGCCCGATGTGGTGCTGCGGCCGAGGGCAGGGCGGGGACGAAAGACCTGGCTAGATTATAGAGGCCAGGAGCGAAACCATCACGCGGCGCTCTGCTCCTCGTCCCCGACCCTTCGCGGCTCCCGGAGGTCGGCCAGGGTCTCAGGCCTCAGGCTGAGCCCGGCACCCTGGGTCCTGGTGCATGCTGGGAGATGTAGTTCCTGAGGGAGGCTTTCCTTTCTCGCCCACCCGTCGCTATGGTGACAGGAAAGCTGCGATTCGTGCCAGCGGGACTCCACCTAAAGTTGAGCTGAGGCGGTGGAGAGAGTAGGGCAGAGCAAGTGAGGCCCGGTCCCTGCTCCAACCCCTTCACTGCGTAGGCACATGGACCTGGAATACGCTTGAACACTATCCGGGAAGTTTTTTATTGACTATGGAGGCCTACTAAATGCAGCCCCGTGGCATTGGGCTGAGAGAAAGGATATAACAGACTGCTTTACTGTGAGTTTTAGAGGGTTTAATACATCTTGGCATGGATATTCAGGGAAAGGGTAGGTGGGCAATAGTCTGTGGAAGGAGGACCTAATATTCTGGATGGGAGCTAGAGGAGATTTCAACAGTTGGAGACACAGATAAGGACAGGAACAGCAGGAGCAAAGACCCAGAAGCTGAAGACCACCTGGCCATTCTGTAAAGAGGAAAAGCTAGAAATAAAGTTGAAGAACCGGTAGGAAAAGACCTTCAGTGCCTGACTAAGGAGGTGGTTATTGAATTTCCCATGACCCTTGAGCAGGCTTTATCAGATCTCTGAAACATACACATCTTTGACATTCAGTGAGAGTATGTCCAAATAAACCCACACTGTGTTGAAATTATCACAGGACACAAATGTAGACTGGGAGCTGCTGCTCACTACCCACTGCCCAGCAACACGAGAGAGTATCCCACTGCAGTTTCTACTAAGCCTATATTGTTTTCACACCATGTGAAGTTCAACAACGTTGGGTTGAACCACTTAAGGTGAGAACCAAGCCATCTGTGAAGGATAATGTAGGGGTGGTCCTTTGACTACAGTGGGAAACAAAATAGAGAAGAATCCTTGTCTTTATTCCTGCTGAGGACTATGGTTACCTGGAGGCAGCAACTATATATCCCATCTTCCCTATGATATAGCTTACTGAGGAGCACTGACTTACCAACTCCTGGATTCCCTCCTAAGGTGGGTAGAAGTGCCAGGTTCTTTAATAACACCTATCCTCTCCCCAGTATGTTTCTGGAAACCGTCCCATGGGAAGCACCGTGGGGAGAACACTGGTTTACACACATGGCATTTTTTTCCCTAAAGATTTTTATTTTTATTTATGCATACAAGAGCTGGGGTGTAGGCCAGAGGTGCAGGGGGTAAGCGGCTTCACCAGAGACAGAGTGGGGAGCAGAACAGACAGATCTATTGAAATAGACTGCTGAGGGGAGCAGCAGGAGAGAGGAGAGTTCTGCTGTGTCATGTGGGTTAGCTCCCTGGCTGGGGAGCAAACTCATGTTGCAGTGCCAATAGCGTGATAGCACTGAGACTTAACCCTTGCGCCACGAGGAAGGCCCCACACATGGCATCTTGAACTTGGATACATCCCTGTCCCCACCCCATGACAAATTCCAATGGGCTGGCAGGGGAGGGACCCCCGCCCTTAACTCCTTTGGCTGGTTGGCCTTTGCTTTTCTGTTTTGTTGCCCAAAGATAGATGATGTAATCGCTTACCTGAGTTATAAGGTTCAGTTTTGTGGGGCAGAGGCAACAGCGTAATGGAAAGACCAGGCTCCAGAGCCAAGTGGACCTGGGGTTGACTCCCAGCTTCACTTTCAATGTGTTTGGCCTTAGGAAGCTACTCCAACTCCTTTAAACTGGTTTTCTCATAGGTAAAAGATAGATTGCTTCAGTTATGTGATGATTCAACAACATACTCCCATAATAGAGAATCAAAATGTTAAAATGTTAGTTTCTCCTTTTCTTCCTGGGTTTTGTCTTTTTCTTTTCTTCTTTTTTTTTTTCTGGAAGCAGACCATAGCAACTTAGTGCAGACTCTGGAATCATATCATCAAAGTTTGAATCCTGGTATTGCCATTAATTGGCCGTGTGACCTTGGGCCAGTTATTTAACTTGTTAGTGTCCTGGTTTTCTAAACTGTTATGAGGATTACATCTTAATATATATGTGTGTGCTTAGAACTGTCCCTCTGTGTCCAGTGAATCTTAGCAATTGTTTTAGAAGATAGAAGAGCTTGTAAGCTAATAACTGAAGATGAGGACAAGGAGCAAGTACTTCCCCTCCCCCCACTCAACTCTGGGGACAATGTGACCATATGGAGGAGACACAAGCTCTCAAAGACTTAAGAGTAAATGCGGTGGAAAAGAAGGTCCTAGCACCCAATTAGAAAAGAGAACTAACAGGGCAGGAATGAGGGAGTGAAAAAGAGAGCTAGGCCTCAGGCAGCTCTGAGAAGCTGGTAAAAGGCAGGGCTTGCTCTAGAGCTGATTTAAAACAACAAAACACATGCAGGGTTTCTGTAGGCAGGAAGCAGAGGAGACGGAAGAGAGTTCAAAGGAGACAGCTCTCTCTGCTGACACCGGCTTGGACCCGGCGCCACAGCGGGGCAGGTGGCTGGTCCCGCCGGCCGGCCCGCGGGGCTCTGCTCCAGCCGGTGGTCCCGCGAGGACGCCGGGCTGCCCTGGCGCTCGCCCGCGGGAGCGGGAGCGGGAGCGGACGGACTACAACTCCCAGCATCCGCCGCGGCGGGCGGGCCGCTGCACCTGCTCAGTGGGGCCGCCCCGGGCGCCTGGGTATTGATTATTCCATTGTGTGGGACGCCTCGGCCCCAGCCAGTGAATGAGGCGGAGGAGTGCGGGCGAGCAGGAGGAGGAGGAGGAGGACGGGGAGGAGGAGGAGGCAGGGAGCGAGCGAGGGCCCGTGGTGAATCAATGGAAACCCCCTCATGAAGCCGGGAAAACACTTCAGCCGCAGCCAAATAGCATTGATTATTTTCCTTCACTTCCCTCACCGCCGTGAATTTATTTATTTATTTTTTCCATCTCCGTCCCCGACGCCCCGGAGCGAGCGCTGGAGGGAGGGAGGAGGAGGGGAAAGAGGAATCAACACATCGAAGAAGTCCCCTCCAAGAGCCGCCCCCTCCCCTCCCCGCCTCGCGCTGCTCGGCGGCCGCGGTTCGACTCCCGTCCCTGCTTCCAGCTGAGGTGTAAGTGCATCGATTTCCGATGCTGCTGGGTTGGTGTGTTTTTTTTTTTTTTTCCTTCCCCTCCTCGCCCTCTCTCTCTCCTTCCCTTCCTTGCTCTCTGGAAGCTGAGGTGGAGGGGCGAGGAGGCTGCGGGGACCGCCGCTGGCGGGCACGGAGAGGGACGGGAAGGGGCTGGGGGAGGGGGCACGACGGACGGACGCGGGGACAGACCGGCGCTGCTTGAGAAGGAGGGGCGGGGGTGTGGGGGGCGGGCGAGCGGGGCGCGGGGGCGCGAGAGGCAGGGCGGCGGAGGAGACGGGCGAGGACGGGCAGCGAGGCTCGCTGAGGAGCCGGCCGGACTGACGGAGGGTAACGAGCGCCTAGACGGGTCGCGCCAAGCTGTGCAGGGCGCGGGGTCCCGGAGGGAAGGGGAGGCCGGGTGAGTGAGGGGCGCGGAGCTGTCAGCCCGGCGGGCCCGGGTGTCGCAGCCCCCAGCCTGCGGCAGGATGGGGGGCGCCGCGGCGGGCGGGCTGACGGATGGGCTGGCGCGCTGGGCATGGGAAGGGGGTGGGAAGGGAAGTGGATACCCTTAATCTTCGATCTTCGTTTTCGCCTGAAGTTGAGCTTTTTGCCTTTTTTTTTTTTTTTTTTTTTTTAAAAGGTACGAGTAGGTGAGGGGAGGCCACTGCTTCATTCAAGGTGAAATGTGTCTCTCTTGGTCCCCCAACTCTCCATCCGCTCTTGTCTGCCCCTTTCTCTGAGCGGCCCGGTCATTTCTGAGCACTCCACCACGCGTCCCGCTGCGCCCGCAGCCCAAGCGACCTCTTCCCGTGTGTCCCTGCCTCTTGATCCTGCCTCAGTCACTCTCTCCACCCATCTGTCTCTGGGTCGGTGTGTCACTGGCTCTGCATGTGACCCTTCCCAGCCTAGTGATCCTCTCCGTGTGCGTCCCTGTCACTATGTGTCACACCTTAGCTGCCAGACTGCTCTGCTTGTCTAGGACTCCATAACCTCTCCTTCAGGGTTCCCGTGGATGTTTCTGGCCTTTTCAGGCTACTTTGGAGTTTGCTTGTCAGTCATGATTGAGGTAGTCAGTGATCAGAGATCTGGGAGGGGGGGGGGGCGGAGCAGATGTGTCTCCCCCCTCCCCCCCAAGGACTCACCAGGGCCAGGACAACCTCCTCTTACACCTTTGCAAGAGAAGCTTTGGAACTTTCTATCATTGTTGACTGTCCCCTTTGCCATGTGCTGGTCTCCTGTGGGGACCTCACCTCTCATCTCCTGTGTGTCATCTGCCTCTCCAGGAGCTTCCTGATCACAAACCTCTTCCTTGCTGGCTCGATTTGCCTCCCTTGCCTCACTTTACTATAGTATTTTGTTGTTTTCCCATTTTGTTTCACTCCCTTTTTCCCATCCCTGTCAGCCCTGACCTCCCCTACCTATTTTCCACTTTTGCTACCATAATGTGCCCTCTTCCTACCTTTTCTCCTTGGTCACCCTACATTCCTTTTATCCCTTATCCTCTTACCCAGCATTTTTAACCCCAGTAGCAGAAGGTACCAGAGAGCAAGGGGCTGGGATAGGTGGAGGAATGCGGCTTGTGAAAGCACATAAACAGGCCAA